CAATATGTACAATATGCTTTTTGAAAGGCCTATGATGACCTATATTTTGTGACAATGACAAACGACAGAAGGGGTAATATTACTGACAACCTTTGTAATTGTCATTTAGGTCATGTTCATATTTTCCTCCAGCCAAGAAGTAATTAAGAAAATTAGGTCTCTTAGTCTGACTCCAAGAATAATTAAGAAAAATAATAGCAATTCTTAATAAACAAAGATTTTTCTTAGTTTTTAAGGAAGAGCCACTCAGAAAAAAACTATTTAAAAATTATTTCATTGAAAATTCTTAACACATGTAATAATTGAGAAATGCATTGTTCTGGCTACATATGAAACTGTTAAACACCAAAGCTCTTCAAACAACTTTTAATGGAAAAAGCTTTCTTTAAAATGTTATTTCAGCCCAGCTGGCGTGACTCAACCTAAGAACCAGGAGGTCACACAGTTTGATTCTTAGTCAGGGCACATGCCACATTTGTGGGCTCCATCCCCAGTGTGGGGTGTGCAGGAGGCAGCTGATCAATGAGTCTCTCTCATCATTGATGTTTCTATCTCTCTTCCTCTCCCTTCATCTCTGAAACCAATATATATATAACAAAAACAGTGCTAAACCCACCTTCTTCCCACTATAAGCCATAAAGTTCATGTTCAATGATTATTTCTTGAACTTAATTTCAATACTGCCAATTTGGAGTTTAATACATACTGGTGCTTGTCCTCCGATTTCTGATGCCCCAATTCCTGCAAAGTGTACTTTGCATCTAATGAGTGAGCATATCTTCCTGCATCTGGGTTTTTACTGAAAAGCAAATAACGAGCTAGGTGGATTCACACAAACTCTGGGAAGATTGATAGCAATCTGATATAGGTATCAATCATTATCTTAGCTTTTCTTGAGTAGATTTGGAATGTGTGTGGAGGGGTTGCGGATGAGTTTAGAGGCTTTTGGCTCCCTTTCCCCTTTTCCCTCCTCCTCCCCACTAAAATAAAAGGCCTTTATAATAGCAACACAGTTCATTAAAATAACAACAGCAGCAATGTAAAACCTCAGGGCTAAGGGCTATTGGTGTAGAAGACCTACAAATTACCCATAATCTAACTGACTTCCAGATTGGATCAATCCGAAATTTAATTTACCTACAAAGACTACATTTTATCTTGTGGCAGCAGATGGAGACACACTCTCATACTTTCTTCTTCAAAGCACTACCACTCACCACAGTCATAGCCCAGAGGCCGAGGGAGACAACCAAACCATAGCTGCCTGCACCCTGCATCCTGTTGCCCAAAGTCAAGAACAAAGACCATCTACCTCCTACAGTTTCCTTTTTGCATTTTGGCTCTTAAAAAAAAAGTCAAGCCCTCGCTGGCCTGGCTCAGTAGATAGAGCATTGGTCTGCACTGAAGGCTGCCTTGATTCTGGTCAAGGGCACATGAATGGGTGGCAGGTTCAATCTCCAGTAGGGGGCATTCAGGAGACAGCCGATTAATGATTTTCACTGATGTTTCTAACACTCCTTTCCTTTCTGACATCAGTGAAAAAATATTTTTAAAAAAGAGGGAAAAACTTAGTGAAGTTTATATAGGGATTATGCAAAGCATCTTTTAAAATTTCAATCCTAACATATTCTGTATTTCTAAGACCACAGTGAAACCAAAGAGGTTAACAACTTCCTTTTAAGTAAAATATGCTTTAAATGTTTAAGTGGAGGAAAAAACTCCACTGAAAGTTCCTCTTAGAATATACATTCTCTGCAATCAGACAAGGATGATAAATGGGTACAAGATCCTTGAGTGCCATGAAAGCAAAGCATAGAAGTCAGCAAATTTCTCTTAATCACCCATTTATTATACTGTTCTTTATCTTAAGCACACAAAAATATTTTTAAGATATGAAAACCATAGCAAAACCAATCTTCCCCAAACCTATTTTCTCCATACTTTCAAATTCTGAAAGAGAATAAACCTATCACTATAGAGGTCAATTTTCTTTTATATTATCTGCTGCTGTTGGTTAGTTAAAATTCAATTTCTCAATGTTTATATGTTGGGAGTTAATAGAGCTTTCAGTGGCATGCCTTCTTATAAATGGGATAATGGAAGAGAAAATTGTATCTTACACTCTACTCCAGTGTTCGACAAACTCATTAGTCAACAGAGCCAAATTTTTTAAACTTAAACTTCTTCTAACGCCACTTCTTCAAAATGACCCACCCAGGCTGTTGGTATTTTGTGGAAGAGCAACATTCAAGGGGCAAAAGAGCCACATGTGGCTGGCGAGCTGCAGTTTGCTGACCAAGGCTCTAGCATAAGCAAGTGCTACAATAACTGCTTCAGGATGTCTGATGCAATTTGTTGCTAGGTTCAATATTATGGTATTATAAATGCTGTGGCAACAAGAGGAAGAGGACCAACCAGCTGTGGTAAACTTTAGTGAGTTTGCGGAGTTGTGATTTATAATGATAGGAGAGGGCTTGGCTATAGAACTTCCTGGAAAAAATCAAATCCTGCAGAAAAAACAGCTAGTTCATTTGTATGTCTTTTAAGCAACTGGAAAATACTGACAAAACAGTAATATGAACTTGACATTCATTTTAAAGTTCCACCGCAGGTTCGCTCTATCCACTGAGCCAAACTGGTTAGAGCCACTGCAGTTTAATATTTGCTAATTCTGCTTCTTCCTCCAACATTCTTGTTTGCTGTTCTTGGGCGTCTGAACATGTTCTTGGTTTAGAGAATAAGAGAGTGGTAGGCAGACAGGCAATGGAGGAGACTGATAGAATGTACATTTTATATAAGTTTGGAGCTGGAAAGGGAATCTAGAGGTCAAAGTGGTTGACGTTGATTTTAGAACAGGAAACGTAAAGGATAATAAAGTGTTACAGATTAAGTCATAAAAGTGGGTGGGACCAATGCAAATTTAGCCAGCAAGTAAAAGTAAATCATTAAACAGTTTAAACCTTTGTTCCCCAGCTGAGAATGCCAGCAGTGGTCAATTTTTTTTTTTCTGGTAGAGAGCTTTCTAAAAATTATCTTTAGAAGTCAGCTGGTAAAATAGAACCCTGTGTCAGGTTTACAGAGACAAAGGGCACAGCCCCACAGCTCTCTGCAAACTCCAGCAACTCTTTACCTTCCTATTTTAGGTTACTTTTAAGCACCTTTAAAAATGTATAGTGAAATTTCTTAGAGGAAATACGAAAAAAAAACACCCAACCCTCACACTTTCATTTTCTGAAAGAAAGCAATATGACTGCATAAGCTAAATCCACACCCAAAAATTTAAACTATGTATAGGATATCTTGGTGGTTACCAAATTGTAACCGATTCAACTCCTTTCTTCACCCAGTTATCTCTTCCCCCAGCTCGAATCCGGAGCTAGCCAGGCCCAGCACACACCCCCGGGCTATTTCATTCCATTGGCTGGCGGGCCCGCCAGCGGTCTACACCCTTTAGATTTACTGTCAGGACGCCCGGTGTTTGTCAGAGGTGTTACACTGCTCATGCATTACTATTCTGTACAAAACGAAAGCTGTCAGGATAGGAAAACAATTTAACAGGTCAACGTGCAATTAACAAATTCCTCTCGTTAAAACTGTCTAGATTTCAAAACTAGAGGCAGTTCATCTTTATGTTGCTGTATCCTGCCACTCGTGCAGAAAGAGGGAAAAATCACCAAGTTATTTCATAAGCCGCATTCGGGTGAGTCACAGAAGCCCACAAAAACTCGCCAGGCACACAGATGGCCAGGCGTTCCCGTTTCCAGAGCGCACTTCGCCGGGACCCGCCCTGTGACACCCAAAGGCGCAGCGCCCGGCGCTCCTCCGCCGCCTCAGGCCCCCGGGCGCTGCGGGCAGGGAGGGCCGGCTCCCGGGGCCAGGGCGGGAAGCCCCCGCCGCCCAGCCCGGCGTGGGCAGCCGAGGCCCGTTGCCCGGGGGGGGGGGGGGGGGGGGGGGGGGGGGGGAGGGGAGAGGCCGGGCGCAGGGCAGCGGGCAGGGCGCGCTCACCTCCCTTGCAGGGCGTGCGGTGCTGGCTGTGCTGGGCCCGGTAGCCCTCCACGACCTCCCAGGAGCCGTCGTCGCGCCGGATGGGGAAGGACAGGCTCAGCACATGGTTGCAGGGCTTGATGATCCGCAGGATGCCGCGCACCCGCTTCCGCTTCTGCTCCTCGCTCTCCCGGGTCTTGAGGTCCTCCACCAGCTTGTCCTCCACGATGCTGGCGCCGCGGTCGAAGAAGCCCTCCACCATCTTGAAGAAGTTGGGGTCGTCCTCGCGGTCAGCCGCCGCCTCGCTGTAGTGTCGCCGGGTGGGCGGCGGGAGCCCCGGCTGCGGGGCGGCGGCGGCGGGCTGCCCGCGGGCCCGGCCCAGCAGCGCCGCCGCGTCGGCTGCGGCGGAGCCCAGGGCGGCGGGCCCGGCGCGGGACAGCAGCAGCGCTTCGCCCAGGCAGCGGTACATGGCGGCGGCGGAGGCGCTCGGGGAGGCTCGGGGCCGTGGGAGGGGAGGACGGCCCGGCGCGGGCTGCCCTTTTATCCGCAGCTTCCTGCCTTCGCGAGCTGTCCCCTCCCCTCGGCGCTCGCCGCCTCCCCGGGAGGACGGACTCCGGGCCCCCGACCGACGTCGCCGTGAAAGGCAGGGCGGGGACGCACCGCCCTGGAGCCGCCCCTCCGCCTTCGCCGGGCCCGCCCCGGCCTCCTAGGCGACGGCGCGTGCCGGCCGGGCCAGCGGGCACTCGGGGACGCGCAGGCGGGAGGAGGGTGTGTGTGCGCGCGGGCCCTCGGGGACGCGCAGGCGCGGAGGGGTGTGTGTGCGCGCGCGGGCCCTCGGGGGCGCGCAGGCGCGGGGAGGGTGTGTGCGCGGGTCCTCGGGGACGCGCAGGCGCAGGCGGGCCGGCGCGCATGCTCTCCAGGCCGCGCGGGCCTGGAGCATCCCAGGGAGGGCGGAGTCTCAGGTCAGTGCGTGGCGCCCCAGGCGCGGTGCGGGGTACTTGAGGGGGGTTTTCTGGGGCGGGGCCTGGCCCGGGAGGGGGCGCGCCTGCCTGTGGGGGGCGCTGAGAGGCCGGCCTCGGGACTGCAGGCGGTGCGGTTGGCGGCGGGCCGCGGTGAGTCACGGTGTCCCTCTCGCCGCCCTGGGCCCGGAGGCCGCCGCTGCCCCCCGGGCCTGCCCTAGCGGTCCGGGCGGCCGAGGAGCGGCGGTCGGAGGCCGGCAGGGAGGGCTGTTTGCAGGGCACCGCGAAGAAGTTGGTGTCAGCCGGAGCTGCACTTCTGAGGTGGCTTGCAGAAACTGGAAAGGAGAAAGCCTGGGATCTGGGGAATCCCTTACTGTCAGGCTAATTCTGTCCCTTTTAACCACTCATCCGGTGATATTGAGATAAGATTAGTTACGTAAATCGCTGTTGTAGCTTTCTAACATTTACTGCCGCACATCCACTTTTCAGTGAGGAGGAAAAGGGTGCAGATCGGGGTGGTAGTCACGCCCCAGACACATCTGTAGTAAAAGGTTTATCTTTGCCCAAAGCAAGCCCTGCCCTTTGTTTCTGTGCATCTTGGTTGGCACCGTTGAAATGCCCCCTTCCAAACCCCTCCTTTCGGGGGTGACCGCCATCAAGAGAGCAGTCATCTTCCCAGTTTCTGCAAGTCACCTCAAAAATGCAACTCTCCCCAGCCGCTGGCTTTCTTCCCTTTCAGGGGTCTTCCCGTGGTCCCTCTAATTCAAGTGCATAGAAGAAACTGCAAAATGGTTATTCTCAGGAGCGTTTGGAAGCTTCCTGGCAATGTCCTCAGTTTTGGCTCAAATAAACTCTTAGACATTCTCTGCAGGTTTTGACATTCCTTATGTTGACAGAAATATGTTTTTGAAATAGTCTAAAAACAAAAGCACTCCATTGAATTCGTCTCAGTAATGTATCTATTAAATGGACCAGAATAGGATTTGTAAACTTGAAGGTACATGTACGTAAGCATACTTTATGAGAAATGCTGATGTCCACCACCTTGGTGGGGAAGTTTTATGCTTGTAAAAGTAATGTCTCTGTTTTTAAGACAGTTGCTGAAGGCCACCTTACCAGCTTTAGCGATCCCAGTGTACTTTGGAGGTTTTAAAAGGCACCTTTTTGACTTGCAAAACTACTTTGCTTTCTGGCTTTCACTTTCTTCATCTATTAGAATAAGGAAAGGAATGTTCTTAATTCTCACTATATCCTGCAAAATATAAGATGATAACCTAGATCAATTAAATTACATTAACCTCTCACTATACGTTCAAAGCAAAAAAGATGGTGCTGATATTTTGCAGTGTTTGCTAGATTAAAGTGGTCACAATTTATATTTGTATTGTGTTCCTTAGTGAAAAATATTCTCTGAACTGAATCCTGAATTTGTCTTGTTGGTCAAAAGATTAAGGTACCAAATTTGCTTTTCATTTGATAGTGTTATCAATAACATTGAACCCCGCCCCCACCCCCAACCTTAACATTCCAGAATAAAGTGATTAGAATCAGTAACATGTGGACTTCCTTTTTTTCCTCTTCAGATGAAATTCTTTGGTATGTTTTGAGGAAAGTGGTTTAAGTTTGTTTGTTTTTGCCCTTGTTTATCTCTTTTTTGATAACCATTGCCCTCAGAAAAATAAATGTTTAACTTTGCTTCCTCCAAGTCTTAATCACCTGAATTCAAGATGGTGGAAGTGAGGCAGGATAGTAAGAAACTACGATAATTTCTTGGCAAGTGGGATAGGAAAACCGAGACAGATCGTTATACAGCAGTTTGCAAACCTCTAATAAATTCTATCTTCCCTAAACAAAAGACTCATAAGAGTAAATGGTTTGTACTTGTCCCCAATCAGAGGATGAATCATGGAGACAGACAGCAGAAATGCAGTTAATGCCCTTTGTGCCAAGTACACTCAAGGACAGAAGAAGTTAAGGGAATAAATCTCATTTTGTCGTTTCAGCATAAAGCTGATGAAGGTTCTATTGAGATCCTCCCTTAAGACCTCCCCTAAATGCCCAGCTTAAAAAATCCCTCAGAAGGAAGGTCACAGCCTGCTCTCCAGGAACATGCCTGCACCCCTTGCTCCCTCTTCCTTTCCCCCACAGGCGCGCATCTCCTACTCCAAGGAAACCCGCGAGGCTTGCAACCAGGGAGCAACGCTCAGCAGCAGTCCTCCCCGGCCCCCTGACACTCCCCCGGGCCCCCTTTCTCTCACTTCTTAGCTAAAGAGCCCAGCCCTAGCCCTTCTTTGTTTCACTGTCCCAGATTTTTTTTTAATACATGTTTTTATTGATTTTAGAGAAAAGGAGAGGGAGAGAGAGAAACGTGAATGAGAGAAACATCATTGATTAGCTGCCTTCATGCCTCCTGCTGGGGAATGAGCCAGCCACCTGGGCGTGTGCCCTGACTAGGAATCAAATCCCCAGCTTTAATAAACGTCCTCTAAAAGTCACCTGGACTCGGATTGTGAAATATTTCTTGTACAAAGTCAAGAACCCACACACTACAGCCAGCCCTAGGCAGACCCGTGAAGGGCCAGGTCCCCTTTCCAGTATCAAAAGGGCTGTGGAAGGAGTGAGGAAATTATTCATAATTGGGAATTTTCTATCTTACAAAATGGCTCCACAAGAACCCTACAAAGTTTTTATTTATTTATTTTATTTTATTTTTATTTTTTTAAAAATATATTTTATTAATTTTTACAGAGAGGAAGGGAGAGAGATAGAGAGCTAGAAACGTTGATGAAAGAGAAACATCGACCAGCTGCCTCTTGCACACCCCCCACCGGGGATGTGCCCGCAACCAATGTACATGCCCTTGACCGGAATCGAACCTGGGACCCTTCAGTCCGCAGACCGACGCTCTACCGCTGAGCCAAACCGGTTTCGGGCAAAGTTTTTATTTTTAAAATCTGCATTATGTTTTTAAATTATATCTGTACTATCAAGCAGTATAGATAGGTTTTAAAAAAATAGAGAAATAATCTCCTGTCCCCATTTTGTAATTGGAGTGTTTCTTTTCACCCTCAAGTAGGACGTATTCTCATTCCTGATGTAACAGAAAGCGGGCGGAAACTCAGAGACCAAGTAAATAGATGATCACCTAGTTGGTAAATAGCAGCTATGTATGACTCAAGCCCATCCAGCTGATATTTTAAGTGGTTGCATTTAGTTTAAAATTGTTTACTATGATGTGAAGTCCAGTGCATTTCAGCTTTACGTTGGTGATTGCCTTTATATACTATACAGATATTTTGCAAATTAAAAATTAATTATTGGTAGTCATTTCCAATTCAAAAGGAATCCAGAATTGAAGGGAATTTTGGTCATTTGTTAGTATCCAGCAAACAAAGTTCCTGCCTTTGTGGTTTATGAGTTTTCCTTAGCTGTGTTAAAATTACGGGTCTCTTCTCAGCATGCTTTTGGGCTTCCAAGTGCTTTTTAAAATATTTTAGAAAAAGAGTTTTAGTATGAAGAAAGACATAACATAAGTACATGAACAATGTAGTTGTTTTTAAAGTGATTTAATTTGAAAAATTATTACATGTTTTCTACTTTCTCTTGAGGTTTGTCTATGTTTGGACATTTCATTTAAATGAATCATACAATATGTGGTCCTTTGTGACTGGTTTCTTTCACTCAGCATCATGTTTTCAAAAATATGTGTTTTGTTGTTTTTTGTTTGAGAGAGAGAGAGAGAGAGAGAGAGAGAGAGAGAGAGAAATTGATAGGCTGCCTCCTGCATAGCCCTACTAGGGATCCAGGCCCCAACCAGGAATCAAACTGGCAACCTTTTGTTGCATGGGACAATATCCAATCACCTTAGCCACATTGGCCAGGATGGCATAATATTTTAAAAATTCATCCCTGGCCAGTGTTGCTCAGTGGATAGAGCATTGGCCTGCGGACTGAGAGGACCCAGGTTCGATTCCAGTCAAGGGCTTATACATTCGGGCACATCCCCTGTAGGGGGTGTGTAGGAGGCAGCTGGTCGATGATTCTCTCTCATCAATGTTTCTAGCTATCTATTCCTCCCCCTTTCTCTCTGTGAAAAATCAATAAAAAATATTTAAAAAAAATTCATCCACCTTATAGCATGTGTCAGTATTTCATTTCTTTTTATGGCTGAGGAGTATTCATTGTATGGCTATATTATGTATTTTAATCTATCACTGATGGACATTTGTGTTATTTTCACTTTTTTGCTATTTGAACATGCTTGTACAAGTTTTTATTTAGACAGATGTTGTAAATTCTCTTGGGTATGTATCTCAGTGGAATTGCTGGGTCATATGGTAGGTAACCTGTGTTTAATCTTTTGAGGTACTGCCACACTGTTTTCCACAGCAGCTGCAGCACCATTTTCATTCTTATCAGCATTGTATGAGGCTTCCAATTTCACCACATCCTCCTTAAGCCATTATCGGATATGAAATTGTAGCTCATTTTGGTTTTGATGTGCATTTCCTAAATGATTATTTAAAAAAAAAATATTTTTTTATTGATTTCAGAGACGTAGAGAGAGAGGGAGAGAAACATCAATGATGAGAGAGAATCATTGATTGGCTGCCTTCTGCACGCCCCCTACTAGGGACTGAGCCCGCAACCTGAGCATGTGCCCTTGACCATAATCGAACCTGGGACTCTTCAATCCTCAGACCCGTGTTCTATCCACTGAGACAAACTGGCTAGGGCTCCTGAATGAGTGAATTTACCTTTATTTACTCACTAGTGGCCCAGTGCATGAAATTTGTGCAGGGGGAGGGGGAGATGTCTCTCAGCCCAGCCTGAACCCTCTCCAATCTGGAACCTCTTAGGGGATGTCTGACTGCCAGTTTAGGCCCATTCTTGCAATCTGGGACCACTAGCTCCTAACTGATCACCTGTCTGCCTGACTAATTGCCCCTAACCACTCTGCCTGCTGGCCTGCTCGCCCTCAACTGCCCTCCCCTCCTGGCCAGATTACCCCTAACCACCTCTGCCTTGGTCCTGCCACCATGGCTTTTGTCCTGAAGGACGTCCGGAAGGTCTACCATTCTAATTAGCATATTACCCTTTAATTAGTATAGATTGGCCAAGTATGTCTTTTTTGAGAATGTCTATTCACATTT